CCCTGAGAGATGAGAGTTTAATTGGCCATCGATCCATCAGTAGGTCCTCTGGCTCCTGCACCCACTTAATGATTGGCCATGACGTCAGCCTAAATACTTGCGCTAATGAGTGACTTCCCACACAACCACCCCCTGCCCATCCCTGCCGCAGGAAAATAGCTCCAAACTTTTCCCAACCAGCTATAACGTCGGTGCAAATCTCTGCAGGCAACATCAGACCACCAACAACCATCCGAACCCACAAACAGTGCTTGTAAGCATTCCTAATGGTCTCATTTACTGAATTATTCTCCTGTGTGGCTTATGTCAAAGCAATAAAACTCTAAAAATAGTCATGTAAATGTATGTTAAATATAAACAGAGATTTATCTTGTATTTTGAAGAGGCATTCTATGCAGAAATGACATGAGCACATGATTTTCTCCCAATTGCCAACCATTGAATAAATAAAAGGAATAGTGCATCCAAAAATAAAAATTCACGTCATTCCAAACCTGCATGCATTTTTTCTTCTGTGAAAAGAAGATATTTTGAAGAATTTTGGTAACCAAACAGTTTTTGGTAAACAATGACCTCCAAAAAATTCTCAAAATATCTTTAGTGTTCCACAGAAGAAAGTAAGTCATACAGATCATACAGATAAGTGACAGATAGTGTTGACGGTAACGCATTACAAGTAATGCGAGTTATGTAATCAGATTACTTTTTTCAAGTAACTAGTAAAGTAACACATTGCTTTTGAATTTAGAAGAAAATATCGGTTACTTTTTTAAAAAATAATGCCAGTTTTTCCAATTTATTGACTGGCAGCTCTCCTGTCCCCATGTTGAAATCACGAGTAGTGCAGAGGCGTTGTGTGACCATGATGTTACTGTAGTTCATCTCACTCACACAAAAACAGATTCAGTATTCCTCAAAGTGAATAAAAACAGTGAAAAACAAACTCAGAATATGATGCAAACCTGCAATACGGGAAAGAGACTTCAGATACAGTACTAGGGACCACTTAGGCCTATATAAAAGCATCTAAAAAGCAGCATGTCATGGGACCTTTAAATACCACAAATATCCTTTATGTATTTAATCCCATTTTATTTACCAATGTCTTTGCTGCTGACCTTCGGTGATCCAATTCCAATACTAATAAGCAAAAATGACTTTAGATAAACATAACATTCGTTTCATTTATTTGTACTTTTTTTTTAATTGCTGAAGTGTTGAATTTCTTCTCCATCTAATTGAAAGGTCTGTTTGAGCTGTGCCCTCTGCTATACAGACATGAATTTACATTTCCATCAACCTGAGGCTTATTCGTTTCACTTTTGGTGTGAAAGGGCTTTTAAATGTACAAAAAATAGAACTTTTTTATATTAAAAATAAATAAACAAACAAGCTAGCCCAGCCTTTATTGAATGAGCACTGTGCAATGTCCGAACTGATTGCACTGTATTTTATGTATGCATAATCATTTTCTATTTTTAAAGGTCTTAAATTTATTTTAAATTAATTTTTAAATCATTTTCAAAGTTTTTAAATTCCTTGTTTTATTTTTGTGATTTTTTTTTAAATGATTATTTTACTTTCTTTTATGTAAAGCACTTTGAATTACCACTGTGTATGAAATGTGCTATATAAATAAACTTGCCTTGCCTAGATGATAAAAAGTAGGGAGTTTTTTTAGGGAGTAACGCAATATTGTAATGCATTACTTTCAAAAGTAACATTCCCCAAGACTGGTGACAGAATTTTCATTTTTGGGAGACTATACCTTTAAGTTTAGTGATTCACATGGTTGATTTTTAAGTAATAGTTTGTTTTGTGCCACCCATTGGTGTTATGCAGAGCTCTTGGGGAAGTCGTGGCCTAATGGTTAGAGAGTCGGACTTGTAACAGGCAGGGGTTGTAGGTGGGGGAGTGAATGTACAGCGCTCTCTCCCACCTTCAATACCACGACTGAGGTGCCCTTGAGCAAAGCCCCGAACCCCCAACTGCTCCCCGGGCGCCGCAGCAAAAAAAAAAAAATGGCTGCCCACTGCTCCGGGTGTGTGTTCACAGTGTGTGTGCGTTCACTGCTGTGTGTGTGCACTTTGGATGGGTAAATGCAGAGCACTAATTCCGAGTATGGGTCACCATACTTGGCCACATGTCACGTCACTTTTCACTTGATATGTCTGACTGAAGCTCCTTTACTTTTTGTGCTAAACAAAGCCATTGAACAATGAAGCAAAAAGGTTTTTCAGTTAGAAGTCTCACTCATGAAGAGGTTTTGGGGGGTTTGACATAGTATCCACGTCATTTTCTTTTTTTCTCCACAGATGAACGTCCATAATTCACTAGGTTCTACACATTCTTGTTGTGTTCGTGTATCCAGCATTTTGGCCAGTTTGATTAAATGCTTCCATCTTGAGCAGGGTGGGCAAACTTGGCCCTTCCAGGCCAGTTTCCTTCGGAGTTTAGCTCCAACCCTAATCAAACACACCTGATCCAGTTAATCATTGTCTTCAAGACTACTAGAAGGCTACAGGCAGGTGAGTTTTATCAGGGTTGGATCAAATCAAATCAAATCACAGGAAAGTGGCTTGGAAGGGCCAAGTTTGCCCATCACTGATCTAGAGGATTACAGCACACTGCAGCCAATATAAACCCATCCATTAAAACTTCCACATAAAATCAAAAAATGATCTGCCCATAGTAAACGAAAAGTCCAGATAAAACCTCCAAACACTTGTTTGGAATGGTTAGTTTGAAGTCTTTTGCCCTTAATTTTCACTTATCCAATAGATTTAGATTCTTAAAAAACAATTGTGGGGTTCTCTAAAAGATACAAACCTAACATATGATGAAGGTTAACAGAAACTTAAGACATTTTCACATTTTATTCTATGACATACGTGACCCTGGACCACAAAACCTCCTATGGAAATAAGCTTTCCATTGATGTATGGTTTGTTAGGATATGACAATATTTGGCCGAGATACAGCTATTTGAAAATCTGGAATCTGAGGGTGCAAAAAAATCAAAATATTGAGAAAATCGCCTTTAAAGTCGTCCAAATGAAGTTCTTAGCAATGCATATTACTAATCAAAAAGTACGTTTTTATATATTTACAGTAGGAAATTTACAAAATATCTTCTTACTTAATGGATCTTTACTTAATGTCCTAATGATTTTTGGCATAAAAAAAAATCAATAATTTTGACCCATACAATGTATTTTTGGCTATTGCTACAAATATACCCCAGCAACTTAAGACTGGTTTTGTGGTCCAGGGTCACATATAATACATCAGTAATAAAGTGAAGTGAAGTGACATGTGGCCAAGTATGGTGACCCATACTCGGAATTAGTGCTCTGCATTTATCCCATCCTAAGCGCACAAACACAGCAGTGAACACACACCCGGAGCAGTGGGCAGCCATTTTTTGCTGCGGCGCCCGGGGAGCAGTTGGGGGTTCGGTGCCTTGCTCAAGGGCACCTCAGTCGTGGTATTGAAGGTGGGAGAGAGTGCTGTACATTCACTCCCCCCACCTACAATCCCTGCCGGTATAAGACTCAAACCCACAACCTTTGGGTTACGAGTTCGACTCTCTAAGCATTAGGCCACGACTTCCCCTTAATACCTTTTACAATTTTTTAAAGCTTTCACTCGTCTTGAAAAAGGCAGTTGTTAAGTGTCTAGATGGGACTACAGAGGTTGTCATGGACATTAAACGTCATCACACCGAACAAGGTAAACTCATCTACTCATTAGTTGCTTTCAGTTTCATTGTGTTTATAATTGTACTTTTGCAAACTATTCCAACTTAAACTTCTAGGGGAAATGTTTTCACATAAAGACTGAAAGAGCAGTCAGAAGCGTAATAGTGGTGACGTTAAAGTCATGTGACCGTGGTGTAGTTTGTTTATAGCCAACGTTTAGCTTTTTATTTCTGGTGATTGTATTTAGGCGTCAAAACTCATAAAAGTTGCATTTATTTGTGAAGATTATCATGAAAAACAAAACGTGTAAGAATCAAACACTTTTGTTGGTCACAGTGCTTATTTTCTGCAATAATCCAGAAGTCTATGGAAAAATCTTATTGGGTTTTTGTCGAGGGAACCAAGGTGTTGCGAACGGTCTACTTCCATTCAATCAACTTTAAAATGCCATACGATATTTATATAATATGAAACAAAAACACCAACTCCATTAAGAGTAACTGATTACGCATTTTATTAGGATTAAGACGACAATCACAAAGTTACCAAATGAAGGCGATACACTGCAAAAGGAGCCTCATCATCTCTCAGAGCTGAAACACACTGAGGTCAGATGGTGTAAGTGTTATTAGAAGTCGCACACTTAAATCTGCAGGGTCGAGTCTGTAGTGTTGTCTGAAACGTAACGTAGATAGCACGAGCATAGTAGTCGACAGTGAGCTCATCACTAAACTGTGCTTTCGTCTCTGTGCTGTTCAACCAAAATGCCTTCGCATTAAGATAAATCCTCCGGCGCCTTCCGCAGAGTGGAGTTTGTGTGCACATGAAAGGAGCGAGCACGGTGTTCAAGACCATAAAGGCAGACATGGCTTCTATGTTTTGACATCTCCAAAATCTCCTGCCTCAGATCAGGACTAAAGAAGTTTTAGAAAAGGGACTCCCTAATATTCTAGGCCCTCACTTATGTATTTAGTGAAATGCATCTTTTTGAAGTTGCATTTGCCTTCAAACTAATCTCAGGAGAAATGTTGAAATGCAGGGAGAGATTTCGCTGATGCAAAGACGAAGGGTAAACTTCAGACAAGTAAACAAAGTGGTAAATGAGGATGAAAGTTAAAGTGTGACATGAAAAGACGGTTAAGTGCACAAATGCAAAGTCCCTGAGAGATGTTGGGGACCCCTGACTCGCACACATACACACCAGTCACTATATGACACCAAATGAAAGCTGAAACTCATCTAAATCGGTGTGGTGGTTTTGTTACAGTGTATAGAGTAGCATATACAGATTGGGGGTCTTCAAGAATTCAAGCTGACCTCAAAGTTCATGGAGATGGGTGGGCGAGCCCACTTCTTTTTGTCATTAGTGGGCAACAGCTCAATTTCCGCACTGATCTGAGATTCCTTCATACCAGCCATTCGCTTGATCCTACAAAAAAAGAACAACAAAAATCAGCACAATATGTAAAAAAAGATGTCACTACTTCCATTTCAACTCGCCTTTAAATTCTCAGAAAGATTTTCATTTGCATGTTAAGTACCAATCCTTGGAATTTACAGCTTTAAATGAGTATATTTACTATTGTACAAATTTCTCCAAAAAGGCAAAAACATCCTGAATAATAATACTCAACTGAGTATTTGGATGGAGGGATGGTGTATTTGAACCAACAGATGGATGAATGGACAGATGGATGGATGATTTGTATCGATGGGTGGAGTATTTGGATGGATGGATGGATGGATGAAAGGATTAAGTATTTGGATGGGTGGATGAATGGATGGATGGATAAATAAAATAAAAACTTTCTGTAGTTTTAAACATATGGTCCTTGAAATTACAAGTATAAAACCCGCTATTCCTGGGTTTTTCTATGACAGTGGGAGCATAAGTTAAAGGGATAGTTCCTCACGCACCGGATGCCGTGCGCGCGCCCAAAGCAGTTGGACAGTGTTGTAATAGAGGTAAAAAATGATATAAATACTGTTCGGTTTCTGGCACAAACTGATCGTTTCGTGTCTTAGGACATCAATGTGTCGTCACGAGCTGCAGGGTTTAATTTGGATTTGTCCGTGCATGTTTTTTTTACTCTCATAGATTTTGTTACCATTGCCATGTATTATACGACTGATAGACTGCAATGGTTGGAGTTAAAAATCATCAAATGTGTTCTACTGAAGAAACAAAGTCACCTACATCTTGGATGCCCTGGGGGTAAGCAGATAAACATAAAATTTTCATTTTTGGGTGAACTATCCCTTTAATATGCCTTGAAGCAAGAACAAAACAAATTTTGTTTTATGAAATCCTCACTCCTTAGTAGAAGGGTAAAAATCTGAACAGTGGGATTTGAAACTTGTACAGTAAAATCAAGCCGTACTTCCAAACAATGGCGTTCTCACTGGCTTTGTACTTGGCTTTCCCCTTCATACAGATGACCTGAACCCCACTGGTGTTGAGTGGAGTAGGAATGCGCACCTGTAGAGAAACACATGATTTTCACTGCAATATGTACAACTAATGAGGCACTTCCAGAATAATGAATGTTATTTCTGCTGTCAGTCTCACCTCTATCTTCTGTGCCAGCAGGGAGGGTTTGAAGTTGGACTTGATCACCACCTTTACCTCCAGCTTGGTGCGGCCCACCTCTCGGACCAATGGGATGACACGAAAGGGGAGGATGATGTCTTTAGTGGTGCGGTACCTGAGACAAGGACGCTGTCATTGTGCTGTGTGGCACACTCATATGCAGACACACACACACACACAATCTTCACTGACCTCATGAGCTCATACTCTCCATCGGGAGGAATGAAGCTAATACTGCGCTCCGAGTCAAACTTGCTGAGACGGACACACTGGTGGAACGTGCAGTCATCGATCGCAATGGACTGTTTCCCACTGCAGCAGGAGACACAGAGGAGAGAAACGATGAGGAAACAATGAAGCATGAGCAGAGACTGCAGAGAGACCAAACACACATTACTCATCAGGGGTGGGCGGCATGACAGTATACTGTGTGACGGCAGAAAATGGTCAACAGGTTAATATTCTGATATACAACGCAGGACGCTTTTAGATTGCTACCGGTGAGAAGGGTTGTTTATGGTTGTTTGTTCAAATTTTTACTTGTGTTGCAGAATTTGACATTTTCTTTTTTTGTTTTGAGTATATGTCCAAGTTCCAAATAACAAGAGAAAATAAATGACACTAAATCTTTCATTACAGGAATTTTCCATAAATATGTATTATGTATTATTATTATGTATAACTACAATTCTGCTCAAAAGTTTTGGGGTCAAATTTTTTTTAATGGTTTTGCGAGAAGTCAATTATATTCACCAAGGCTGCATTAATTTGACCAAAAAAAAAACAGTAATGTTGTAAACTATTACAATTTAAAATCCAAAATTTTGAATGGTAGAGCATATTGTAATAAATACAATTATTAGATTAAGCAAGATTTTGGTCATACCGCCTACCTCTGTTACCCATGATGCACAATAACATGTCTGCTATACTGTCATTATGTTGGGAAGGATGTTTGTTTCTAGCACTGTGACCACAACAAAACTGCATGGGAAAGTCTGTAAGAGGGTTGTGATTTGCTGATACCAGATAAAATAAAGCGTTATGTTGTGGTCAGAGCCAAGGGGGCAGGCGTTTGAGGGGTCAAAAGAAAAGATAACTTTAACACAGACCCTACTGAGAATGGCTTTATTCAGGAAAGAGGCTTTTCAGAAAAACAAGACAGGGGAAAGACTGTCAGTATGAGACAAGACAAATGAACTGAAGAAAAAGCTACGCTCCTTCACTTAGAGCCGCTAAACACCTCACACATCATGGGGCAATGGCAGTGTCATCCCATGCAAAAAGATCATCTTTATCGAGACATCTGATGGCATGACACGAAGACAGCTGACAAACGAGCTAAGACAGGACAGAGTGCAGGTGATAAATCAGGTGACGTCAGGAGTGAGTTACGCTACCTGCCCCCCAACTCACTGAAGTCCAGCAGGAGAGAGGAGAGAGGGACACAAATCAACAGAAAAAAATGGAAGAAATAAAGGGCTAAACCAACGGCACCTCAGAATCAAACATTCCTCTGTAAAGATACATATACCTACCAGCACAAAAGGCAACAGGGGGAGAGTGAGGCTGCAAGACGGGATGTTACAGAACACAAAAAAGCCAGGAGGAATGAATTCACTTCATGTGAGACTTCTTGTAATATTGTGTCCAAATGTTCTGCTCATAAGGCCTTACATTCGAAGTTCCTGAAGTCAATGTGAACTGGCATTTATAACCCATTTTACTTCAACAATTCATCAGGAATTTACTGGATTGTGAGAAGTCCTTATATGACAGGTGAATGGAGGGGAGAGATTCAAAAATATACTAATATGTGACACCTCAACTCCATTTTTTTTAATTATGGTTCGCAAACGTGGGTTTGTGAACCTCTAGGGGTTCATGATGGAACTGCAGGAGTTTTGTGAGATAGTGACACAAATGCCAATGCTAAATTCCCTTTAAAGGGGTCATGAAATTAATTTTCAGATGTTTCTGGAAGTTAGCCTATCAGATTATCAAAGTTTTGTTGCAATAAAAAAGTTAAAATGTTTTCATCATTTTCCATACAAATTTTAACTCGGTCACAAACACGTCATTTCAAGTGGAGTTACCTCTTTCAAAAACACAAGTAAACAGCCACATCATTGCGCTGCATCCACGCACAGCATGAGTGACGTGTATTTTGATGCTCAAGATCAGTGATGGGCAAACTTGGCCCTTCCAGGCCACTTTCCTGCAGAGATTTGATCCAACCCTGATAAACCTGCCTGCAGCCTTCTAGTAGTCTTGAAGACAATGATTAGCTGGATCAGGTGTGTTTGATTAGGGTTGGAGCTAAACTCTGAAGGAAACTGGCCTGGAAGGGCCAAGTTTGCCCACCCCTGCTCAAGATGGTCAGCGCTGTAATACAGTCATATATGTTTGAGCCCGAGTCAGACTGAAATGAACCAGTGCAAACAACAATTGCCTTCAAGGACAAAATATTGCCATAGATTTCAATAGAAGATAGTGCTGGGCGGTATGACCAAAAATTTATATCACGGCATTTTCCAAAATTATACAGTTTTTTTTTTTTCCATGCATGACCGGGTGTTAACCATATGTGAAAAGGGACCCCTTTCAAACAGTGTCGCGTTCCCAACGTTGTTTAAGTGACATATACTGGTATTGCGGTATTTTAAAAATTCATATCATTAAAAAAATCACCGGTATTCGGTATGAACCGGTATACCGCCCATCACTAATAGAAGATATTTAAAATTAAAAATGAAGAGACCATCACGAAATGACACATTCTTATTCAATCACTCAGGCACATGTTAAAAATAAACTTCAGCCATGCATTTCTAACAGTTTGAAGGGTATGCACAGTTTACTTTGAGGTGCAGTTTGTCTACATCCACAGAAAGAACAACAATGGATGGTCTTACAGCAGTATATCGCTCTAGTGATTGATGCACATACATGAGTTGCCAAGAGCAAACCTCCTTGAATTACATATGCACGTTAAGGGGCCATGTAGAGGAACATCATGACATCACAAATGGGGTGATTGCAAATCCTGGTGTTTCAGAAAACTCATTTTAAACTGGGGAGTTTGCTTTGAGGTATCAAACTTAGGAGTATGTTTTTATTGTAGAGAGATTTTGAGTTTTATAAGCCCTTTAACTTAAAAAATATTAGAATTTTTAAAGGTGTAAAATTAAATAAAACACTTTAGTTTGGCCTTATGAGTCATTAAATGGCAATTAGTAAATTAGTAACAAGCATAAACAATGTATCTCCATCATGTTCAATGGTTTACTCACCACAGTGGCATTCACATTTCCATTTGAGTGTCATCCAACTCACCTTTTGCCCGAGTCATCAGTCGTGCCACCTTTGCCCTGCTTGTCGATGACAATCTTGTCGTTCATGCCAAACTTGCACTCTGGCATTCCACTCAGGTAGCTTTTCATCACCACACGCCCTGAGACATGTGCACTCAACACCTGACCTGCATGCACAAAACATCACTATGTGCAGCTTCATTACAAAGTAATAAATGATGGTAAAATTCACCATGTAGTACTTTAACCCAACCAGTAGAGGGCAGTAAGGCTCACCCTGCGGTGACATCAGCAAGTTCACACTTTCCAGTACATCCAGGAAGAGTTCGTTGCGGCGATATTTGATGCCCTCACGTCTCCAGCCGATCTGTCCGGTGACCTGACTGGTAATCTGAGACTGCTCCTCTTTCGTCTGAGAAGAACACGACGTGTGGAGTGTGAGAGAAACATAAGCACCGCCAAACAACAAGTCAGATATTTTATATTGAAAGCTGTCATGTAAAGCTTTGTGAACACAACTTTGAAAATATAAAAGTGGGGTATAGAGTGTTTCAGGGATGATGTATTTGTAGGCCGAAACCCAGAAACGAGTTAGCATTTTAGCACGTCCGTTCAATGTTTTTTTTGAAAGGGTTTTTGGTTAAATGTCTGAAATAAGGTCTGTGTTTAACACAAGCTCAAGATATTTGCATGTTTATTCTACAACATAAATTACATCAGTAATAGACTTAAGTTAACAAGTGGCTAAATGGGACTACAGAAGTTGTCAGGGGACATTAAACGTCATCACACCGAACAGGTAAACAATCTACTTGGCGTTTAGAAAAATGCTCTTGCAAACTATTCCAATTCAAACTTTCAAGGAAAATGTTTTTTCAATTAAAAACGGAAAAAGCTGACAGAAGCATAATGGTGGTGACATTGAAGTCACATGATGGGAGTGTAGTTAGTTTATATTTAGGGCTGCACGATTAATCGAATGTGATTGTCATGCGTATCTTGTCAGTAAAGCCGGTTCTGTGATTAGTAGTAAATCTCCAGCACGTGCTTTCAGATGGAGCAACATTTACTGCACAGAGCCGTAGTTCACTGACGAGCTACGCAAAATCGCGTTCATTATCACAGACGATTTAATCACGCGATTATGAGATCAAAGAAATCGTTCTGCGATTATGAAAGCTGTTTGCGTAGCTTGTCAGTGAACTACGGCTCTGTGCAGTAAATGCTGTTCCATCTGAAAGAACATGAAAATACCACATTTAATAACATGTTTTGACTCCAAACTCACTTCATAAGTTAAATCTTCTGTTTATTCAGCAACCGCTATAGGCATTTCCTGGGTTTCTTCTGTGTATTTGGAGTTTCAGCGAGAGAGCGCCCTCTGGCCTTCTTCGTTCACGGTTCTGTGATCATTTACTACTGATCACAGAACCGTGCTTCACTGAAAGATACGCATGACAATCGCAGCTTCTGCCTAATCGCGATTTAATTTCGATTAATCGTGCAGCCCTATTTATATTTATATTTGGCATTTTTCAAATAGTGGCCGATAAGTTTTTCCTGTTTGGCCGATGCTTTCGAGGCGGCACTTTTATTTTGACGGCGCTGAGAGCGGCAGTGCCTGAGCACATAGTGCTCACATTCTCCCTCTTGTTCGCTGTCGTCGTTAACAGTTCTGACTAATACGTATAGAAGTCTGTCTAATAATCAGATAGAACAGTTAAACAAAGGAATTAAAATGTATACAAAAGTATTATAACGATTGCTTTTATATTATTAGTAATAGAAAGGCAAACATTATAATACTTTCT